CTCTGCTTCTGCCCAGCTTGCCACAGTGAACAAGCCTCTTCCTTCACACTCTTAACTGCCACAATGCTTCTTCAACACGGGCATCAAATCGACACGGCAAAGGACATCAGGAACCAAGTAACTCCTTGTCTTTAGGATGTTGGTGCCAGGCATTGTGCCTGATTCTGGAGTGGCGTGAGTAGCCCCTCACTCAGCAGGCCTGATGATGAGCCTGCCCTCCCCAAGTCTCTTCTTACTGCATCTTCCACCAAGACCCCGGTGGCTCGAGTGCTCACTGTCCAAGGCAGGGTAAACTGCTAACCGGGCCCAGCCGTTAGGCTTCCACTACGGGGGGTGGCCGTTCATGCCCAGTAGAGCAAACGCTGCTCCCCGGCAGTCTCCAGAGCAGCTCATCTTCCCCCTTTTACCACCCGCTGCCGTCTCACTGGGGGAACGCTCCAGTAACGGTGGTACCTGGGCAGCTCAGACAGGGGTAGTTCTAGGGGCAGCGTTGCAGAGGGAGAATGGACTGTGCGGACTGTTAGAAGTGGGAAGCCTGAGAATGTAGCCAGGAAATGGAATGTTCCCAGGACCTGGGGTGCTGGGAAGACTCACGGTGAGCTATCAGGCAAGTCAGTACATCAAACTGACTCTGTAACAAGTTACTCATTGGCTATCACATCAGGGGCTTGAAACCCCACCCCCCCAACACACACCCCAGCTCCTTCAAAAGCATAAAGTACACACACACCTTAATATGCCTGTTTCTAAAATATCTTTATTACAAAATGTTAAGAAGGAGAAGTTACAAAAGCGGCAGTTCAGGTGCGCTGGGCTCCAACATCAGCACCTGCCAGGCCATCTTTCTCAGTGGTGGTCCACAGAAGTCAGGGTTCAAACCACGTAAAGGAAGAGGGTCAACACTGCGTTCCCCAAGACACCTTGGTTCTGTTCATACCAGAGCAGGCCTCTGGGACATGCACTGGGGTGGGTGTGTGCGTGCTTCTGTCTTCTCCAATTCAGTTCTCCTCCCTCTGCCCCTTACCTAAACCCACCTCTGGGATTCTGCTCCTCGGCTCACCAAGCATCTATGTACGGTCTGCCGTCTCTTGTCATCTAGATGTCCAGTTACTTCTGTGGGGAGAGGAACACCCGTGGTCTTCCAAGCACCACGCTGCAGGTGGAACTCTGTGCAGTTCCCGCCCCAACCCCTACCCTGCAGCAGACAGACGGCCACGCTGTTCTGGCTGCTTTTAAGACACGATACAAGCTAAAGTCATCAGAGAGAAAAGAAACCTCAATTATGAAGACCTCGGGGAAGGAAAATAAACCTTTTCCTCAAGCTGATTTCTTGGGTCACGGTATCTTTCCATAGCAATAGTATCCCTGCCTAGCGCACAGGCTCAGCCAATGTAATCCTACCACATATATTGCTCATTAGTTTTGTTTTTTTCTAATTATGTTCTAAATTAGTAAAAACTGCTCTCATGAAAAAGGAACCCAATTACAATGGAGATGGTGTTTTGGTTTCAAGCCAAAGATTGTAAGAGCTTCTCTAACTTCTGGGTACTTTCAATTTGGATGCTAAACAGCTGTGGGTGGCTTGACACTCCGTCACCTAACTCTGGTCATGCATGGCGAGTGGCAGTTTTAGACAGGCAACATTCATAGCCCTGGAGGTGGACTAGCTAAGCTGTGATTAGACACGAAGGCCTTCTCCGGTGTAAAGAGAAGCTTAATTCCAGTGACTTGGAAAATGTTACTTAAAACCTTTCGGCAGTGAAGGGTTCTGTCACTCAGTCCTGTGTCTGGCCAGGATCACCAGGTTTTTCATTGCTGAGAATCTGCAGACAGCTGTCCCCCCCCCCCCCTGGAGTAGTCTTCTCTTGCCAGGCAATGCAGGGTCCAAACTGCAACCTTTTCCTCTTCTCCTCTACACCCCACTAGGTGACTGCAGAGGTTGTTATGTGCCTCCTGTTTCTCTGGGAGACACGCCCCTGGTTAGGCAGGGGCCTGCTGTCCTGCTGGCTGGACACGCAATGCCTGCCTGCCTGCCTGTGGTATTGCTTAGAAATAAACCAGGTCTACAAAGCCATTGACGCTGTGTAGGTGGCAGAGGCCAGGAATCTTACCATGCAATCTTACACAGTAAAAGGCCTCCCAAGGAGCAAGGCAGAGCCTGGGACTCAAGTCGGATCTGGGACAGGGGACTAAGGGCAGTGGCAGAGGCCACACACCAGAAGCGAGCAGTTTTGAACCTTCCACAAAGGGGCACAGATCAACTTCTCCAGGCCGCTTTCATCGCTGGTGACACGTGAGACACAACAGTTAGCTCCATAAAGACACCACTTGTCACCACAGCACCGGGGTGGCCCTCTGGGTTCCCAGCTGTGGCAGCTACAGTAGGAAACCTATTGTGATGTTTAGGAGGGTGTCTCTAGATGCTGCAGCTACCTTCAATCTGGCCCTGAGAAAATTCCCCGTCAGTCCCCTCCCTAAAGCAAGCAAGCATTCTGGCTCAAGCTGGCTGGGAAAGCAACTTCCCAGTTCACAGCGCTACTGCCCCTGACCTGCCTCACCACGGTTTTCCTGTTACTAGCGCGTGCCGGGCATGAGGACCACCGTCTGCTACTGAATTGTCTCCATTTTTCTCCCTAAAGCCAGCTCTCTGCCTGTCCTTTTGGCCCAACTTCATACACCATTTTATGTACTAGGAGAAGCCTCAACCACGATTTAAAATACAGGCAACAAATAGCAGCAGCAGACAGATAATTTGTCATTTAAACCGCTAAGCGTGTGTGTCTGAGGCAAGAGTCCTGGAAGAAACTACAGTTAAATGAGAGCCTATGGGGTGGAAGCTACAACTTTTTCCCTGTGGTATAAGAGCACGCTGAAACTAGCTATCTGAAAGCCAGAGTCCCGACTGTGCTGACTGGGTTTCCAACTTCCAAAGCTCTGCGAACCATCTTCAACCACTGACGCCAGTCTATGGGACTCTGTCACATCACATCAGCAGGGTTTTGGAGTCCTCTCCAGAGGGCTGCACTCTGAGGTCTGGGCCTGGAACGTTGCAGAACATGTAAAGGTCCCGGGCTTGTCCTAACCCAGGCTAAACGCCTGGTTACTAGAAGCTAAGTCTTAATGCTGGGAGGCCAGGCATGGTAGCACACTCCAGTAATCTTACACGTGGCGCAAGAGCCAAGATTAAGCCCACCCCCACCTACAAGGTACAGGAGACTTGTCTGGGCTATGAGACCCCTAAACAAAAACATCAAAAACCCAAACTTGTGACAAATGGGCCCACAGTTTCCCCTACCCCTCCTCTGAAACCCTTCCCAAGCATCACACCATGTGTGCCTTTGGGATCTATCAGCCACCAGCACACTCATTGCTCTCAGGACAATAACTACCACGAGCAGAGCATCTGTCTCTCAGTTGTAATGGCCCAACTGTCCCCAAACTTCATTACAACACTGAAATATCTACATACTACATTGAGAATTTGTGACGGAGGAAACCAGTTCAAGAGGCCACTGTAACAACAACCTGGACACGGCCTCCCTGTGTGTGTGTGTGTGTGTGTGTGTGTGTGTGTAGAGAGGTGTGTGTGTGTGCATGTGTGTGCACATGCGTGCGTGCGTGTGTGCACACGTGTGCGCGTGTTAGACAGCCAGACAGTTCAATAAATCTGCCCGGCACTGGTAAAAAGCATGGCATTTCTGGGTAGAGAGCCACGAGAAGTGCGTGCACACGGGATGATAAACACGAGCCACTTTCTCTGAGCCAGAAAGACCTCACTCAATGCTCACCTACCTCTCACTCACTTTTACAGTAATTGTCCAGAGCAGGCATGGAGTTTCAATGGTCAACTCCCCAAAATCAACAATTCCAACAGCAGCACTTAGCACGCATGCCCCTCACACACCCTCCTCTTGTACTATGGCTTAGCTGCAGCTCTTGGTTAAGAAATGAAGATTCACCATGTTTCCTACATCCAGACAGAGCAACACTCAGTATTCTTTCTTCAGGGATGTCAGTGACCCTACTCCTAACCCAATCCAACAGGTTCTCGGGTCCTTCCCCTCGGCTCTTGTGCCCCTGTGCCCCTGGTGTTAACCTCAGGCTGGACTGTCAGCCACCTCATGGGCATTTTATGTAAGAGCTTCATTTGTCTTTAGAGCTGTTTACTATAAAGGAAAAAACAAAAAACAACTTTTTAAAGGGGTTCTTTTGTGGTGTATAATTTGTATGTTATTTGCCTATTTTATTTTTTTGGGGGGTTTCCCTCTATGACTACTTATGTTATTGCATGTGCAATGTAACATAGCTCGCCTTCTGCATGGTTGTAATCAGTGACCATTTAGGGATCAATAGCCAAAGACACAATGTATTAAAATCAATTGATTTCAAGACTGCCCATGAAAAGATCACATACCGTATGGACTACGAGCTTGTCATTCTAAATTATAAACCAAACGAGCCACTGACAGTCTCAATCTTTAGAGACTCCACAAAACAAATTTCAACCAAATTGCTTCTTAAGACGGGATATCATCTCTTCCTATCAAAGTTCTGCCAGCTCCTTTTCTAAAGGTCAGGTCAGGGAAGCACTAGCCTGAGGTCAGAAATGGTGTAATTTTTTTCCCTTTATATTTGTCTCCATATTACATAAAGTATGCTCAGCCCTATTATGGGGAGCGGCCTAAAGGCATAAATAACCTGCCATTATGTTTCTTTGGTATTCTATACAAAATGACAACTCTATACTAGAAAAGTAACCCATTGCTAAAAATCAAGTTGTGTTGGGGATTGGCTTGGGAGATGTGCCCTTTGAGTAGTAACCCACAAACACACTGAAAAGGAAACTAACTTATAATTATTACTTCAATGTCATCTAAAGGACAAGGTAAGATTTTAAGTCCACAAGCTGAAATATGGAATTGAATTTTATCTGTATGAAGTACTCTGAAATCAAGGACGATGACACATGCATCAGGCATATCCCACAGAAGACATTTACAATGGTTTACATTTGCTTTTTATTTATTCCTAGAAACTGCCCGTATTGCAGATTTTTCATGGATGAAATATGGAATTGAGCAGATTCTTTTTTTTTTTTTTCTACAAAATTATGGTATAAACTTGCTCAATTTTCTATTTTATTGCTAATAACCCTTACAGGCGCACAGTTTGTAATGTAACCCCTTGAGGACTGAATGTGTAGAGCATGCTGTAAGGTACAAGAAATAAGCTAACTGAGCTTTTACATAAACCCACATTGGGACCGACGCAGTACTGAATGCTGGCAAACATTTATCACAACACAGGGAGAAATTAACAGGTGATACAGCTCAGTCCTGAAAGGGTTAAGTAGAAACCCTAATATATTATTGTTTCTAACCATCCATCCCAAGTTACAGTGCTTGAAAAATAATCAAGTGACACAGAAAATCACACTTTTGCTCAGTACTCACCAGAAACACAGCTGCTTTGGAAAACAATGTCCATTAGCTTGGTTAACAATCGAATAGCATTTTCTTCAAAATAGGAATGCCCCCACCAACAGATTTTCTGATTAAATAACTAGTTGGGTTAATAAAAATCACACTGGAATTTCCCTGTGGTTGGACAGATAGACCAGTTTCTCTAAAGACAAAAGCAGTGGAGGCATCCGGCCACCCCCAGCATGCCCAGCATGCCCAGCATCCCCAGCATGCCCAGCACGCCCAGCATCCCCGCACCTGGAGGCTAAGGCAGCAAAGCTCAAGAATGGCCTGAGGGGCTACATGGGTGAGACCCTCTCTCATGAAAGAACAAACAAAAAGCCTTAGCAAATATGCTTGTGGCCCTGGATTCGACCCCGGCGTACACGAGGAGGTTGCCACAGTTTAAGGGTGGTCAGCAGCAATCACGCAAAGGGCGCCCCGCATTCTCAGCTTCTGGCCTGCCTTCCAACCTCTGCACACATGGAAGGGGTTAAAAACCATGCTGGGTCTCAGGGTCTACATCTAGGCATGTTTTGAGAAGCTGTGCACATTCACTCTAAAGGGGATGGAAACACAGAGCCACGCAGTGCAGCTGAAGGAATCACTTCTAAGAAGACTTCGAGACAGTCAACGCCCAGCATCTGCAGCAGCAGCATCTGGAGGAAACATTCCGAGTAAATGGTGGACAGACTCCCATACATCATGTACTGAAAATGATTTACAAACCCACAGAAAGGACTTTTAATAAAAGCAGCTGACAAAAGAACTATCAATAAATGGTAAACAGACAAATCAGTTCATCCTATACTGTGGTAGGACTCCGGCACAGAACCATAGGAAAGATGCCTTTATTGTTACATTCTTGGACTTTGTTAAAAAAAAGAAAGAAAACAGGAAAACGACTTATAGTCTAGTTATTTCAATTCTTATTCAAATAAACAAAAGAACCGAAATAAGATATAAACATTAAAAAAGTCAAAGTTCATTTTAATAAAGCCATGAACTTGAACAGTTACTTTAAGCTACAAAGCTGGGTAAGGAATAGTTTGTTCTTTGAAAGATTCTCGCCTGTTCTCGGTTGACTTGATGTCTTAACTAAATCCCAAATCTAGGAGGAGGAGACTCGTGTCCTGGGCAAGCACGCAGCAGCTGTGACCGCTCAGGCTCTGAACAGACTGCAGTACCCTGCTTCCATGGCAACTGAGGAGTGGTGCTTGAGACGAAGCAGCTCTGAAGGAAAGGCGAGGACAGTTACTGCAAAGGTAGGTAAGGCCACAGTGAGCGCTGCCCCTGGCCACCGAATGAAGGGACTGGGGGGGGGGGGGCACTGCCTGCAGCAGATCTGAAGAGAAACGGCTGTAACAGCTAATGCAGCGTGGCCTGCGGGGGGGGGGGGGGGAGGCTGGTGGTAAGGGAAGCTGCAGCAACAGATTTAACCAGCACACGTTTTACAGATGACCTCCCCCCGCCCCCTGAAAAACCGAGGAGGAGGCAGTTTACAGATCGATGTTCAAAGTGGCATTTACAGTGTCACCGTCTCCGGAAACGGTGGCCGACAAGACAAAGCAGCGGGTGGAAAACAATACTCCTGACAAAGGGTTCTTAACGAGTCTACAGGAAAACTGTCACAAGTCCAGGGAGTCAGGAAGACATCAAAAACGCCGCAGAAATGAGAGTGTGCATCAGAAGGTACTCACGGCTCCTGTTTTAAGGGACAGTAAAAGCTAACCACAATCTAGAGGTAGTTTTCACTCTACATAGGAGGATAGCATCACTAGACTGTGTCCCTCAACATCGCCCACATGCTCCCTGTACTAAACTAGCCAGATGAGTCTGCTGCAATCCTAACAAACTGAACAAGGCATTACCAAAGTGCAGGAATGGAAACAGGAAAAACTAGCAACATTAGCACACAAACCCGAATGCAACCAAAGCTTAAGAGAAAAGGGGAAAAAAAAAAAAAAAAAAACTGGACAGAATATTTCTACTGGAGAAAAACAAAGGGCAAAGGGGGAAGGGAAATATAAGTTACATTTGTATTTTTATAAACTTAAAACTATCTGTTTCTAAGGTACTGTCTTCTGGCTATTTACTTAGTTATCATCTAAAAAGAGCCATCTTGTGATCTTATATTTAGAATTATAATGATGTTCTGGCCTAGGCTAAAAAAGGGGAAATGAAGTACAATAGGTCATCTTTCTTGCAGAGACTTTCCTCATTTTACCCTAAGGGCATCATCTTGGCAGCAAATAATTTTCATGATACATTTTTTTTTTCTTTTCTTTCTTTCTTTTTTTCTTTTTTTTTTTTTCTTTTTGTCATTTGCCAACAAGGTGGGAAACACCCTGTTAAATGTAATCACTGGGAACATTCCAAGTTAAAGATAAAATGTTTAACTTACACATAATACAAGTTATGTACAAGATTTGGGGGAGGAGGAGGGACACCTGAACAAACCCTGGAACACAGACAAACTGATAGACAGGCAAAGAGGAGCAAACCTTCAAATGGTAACTCAGGAACGACTAAATGGCCACACGGAACTCCACAGAACTGTTAGGACCTCTTGGATTACCACTATAAATACATTAAAAAAAGGAAAACAGAAATAACTACTAACAGTATCTGAGAATAGACTAAGTTAACATACATTGCATGTATTGCAGGCAAGGCAGAGGCATTTTTAAAGCTTTTGCACAGACTTCATATAATCTTAAAAAAAATATGCAGGCCTTTACAAAATTTGACTTGCTGAAATCAAAATAATTCCAACTTATGAAAAAGTCATAAGACTTCAGCTTAAAAAAAAAGTTCCAGCCTTAGACCGAAAGAGCCTGGAAGTGTTCGGTTCTCAGATTGAACGAACAAGCAAGGTCAGGCTTGAACCTGAAAGTACTTTAGAGCCAAGGCTCGAAGGGGTGGAGAGTGCAACCTAGCGGTAACAAGGTGTACTACATACTGTGATACAAAAAAAGGCATGGTGAAAATGTACCTTTTACTAAAGCTTATGCAAGCCCCTTGGTCCACACAAACTATGTCAGATTTGTGTCTTCTAGCTTAGCCTGTACTCCAGCCACGTATCTACTTCTTGACCATTTAATCAACACCAAACAAAAACCAACCAAAAAGGGGTGTGTGTGAGAGAGACAGCCGCAAACCTTGATTTCCAACGGTTTGTACATGTGGATGCTTTTCATTTTACTGTGGCTTCTGTATTCACACCAGCACTTGCAGGTAATGGGGCTCTGAACAGATCACCTGGTATGAAAAGTTTTCCTAAGAAACCACAAAAGAGTGTTCATTTTATCCTTGCTTTTTCTGTCAACTTTTTGCCGCATTCAAGTCAGTTTAAGTCCTAGCAAAAAGACGGCCGTTAGGACAGCACGGTTGCCGTGGATGACGTGACACTGGTGGAATTTGCGCTGGCGCTCGTGTAAGTGCCCTCGCTGTTGCTGTGTGAGTCGCTGGTGGGCACTTGGCTGGAGCTGGCCCTGAGGATGGCCCCGGCTGCGCTGCAGTGTGGCCGCGGCCCTGGTTCCGGTGTGTAGGTAAAGGTAAGGCTGGTGGAGTAAATGACTCCATCATTGCGGACCAAAGTTACTGGGACCTGGACTGGCTGCCTGACCCATCGCCAACCTTCTCGGAATGCGGAAATGTCTGGGACCACACAGAGCATGCTCTCTCCACATCTGAGGGGAAACACACACCAGTTAGAAGCATTTTCAAAGCACAGCACAGCCCTGCAGTGACTACAGCCTCCCCACCCCGGGGTCCTCCCCACCCAGACTGACAGAGCCGTTCCTGCCCCTACCTGTACATTGTTTCGGCTTCTACATCCCCAAACCACACTCGTAAATTTGGAGTAAAATTCTGTCCTGTAAGTTCAAGCATTGCCACATCACCGCCACCATTCAACTGCAATTCAGAGAAAGCACAATATTGAGACAGTTTTTCACTCTCCTCCAAAGAACACAGCTTGGGTTATACTTGCTTTCATTTTCATGAAGGTTAATTAAGTTCAGATTCATAACGCATTTCTGTTAAACGACACAACTTCAAAGCTAGCTGAAGCTACTTCAAGATAACTTTCACCGCCATTTAAACTTTCTCCCACATAAACGTGTTGCTTCAATTTTTATTTCCTATCGATAGCATATGTAGTAAGACCCAAATCTTATTTAACATTTACAGAAAACTCAGTATGTCAGTGAAGTAAATTCATGGCAGATTATAGCTAAGAACAGCAGTCAAGAAAGGCTGAAGCCACCCTGTGACTTCAGGTCTCACCTGAAGACTCTCTACGACAGGCACAGGAGTGACGGGGGCAAGGACAGGGCCCATGCCCTCATAGAATGTGTACTCTGCCTTATCTGTGCTAATGATTGTCCAGGAAGCGCCGTCATTTATCATTTCTTTATTTGGTTCTTTCGGACATGGAGTGGCCTTAAGAAAAACAAATGTTCATACACTGAGTTTTATATACATAGCAGTATAAGAGAATTTACCAAGTAACATTCACAGACGAGTTCACAGGAGAAAATTAAGAGAAATAAAATCTTGGAACATTCTAATAATACACTTAATCCCTACATCCCTACATGAATGTGAACAGAATGTTAACATGAAGGCCCACAGGCAGTAGTTTTTGTTAGACGCCAACACTTGAGTGATACATTAAGTAATGAGTCACAATCACACAAGAGTGTCCTATTACTATATAATTTCTTTTTTGTTGTTTTGTTTTTCAAGACAGGGTTTCACTGTGTAGTCATGGCTATCCTAGAACTTTCTCTGTAGATGAGGCTGGCCTCAAACTCAGAGATCCACCTGCTTCTGCCTCGAGTGCTGGGATTAAACATCTGCACCACCACCACCACGCGGCTCATTATTATATAATTTCATTAGGAGATCATACCTGTGATGCAAAATATAAGTAGACTCCCAAAGAGAGGGAGCACTATTAGGAGCTATAACACTTGAGCGGGAAGCAACCAAGTCGGAGAACCAGCAGTCCCGAACCCTAGCCCGGGACCAGTGTCCCCATGAGTGCTGTACAGAGCTGGCCTCTGCAACAGTGGTGTAAAGGGGAGCTCAGCACAAAATCACAGCCACCCTACAGCACCAATCCATGTGCTAAGAGCCTCCTGAACGCTTCTGAGCAAACGTAATGGAACATTAGCACTCAGATCTCGCCAGCGTCACTATGGGAGGCCTCACTCTAAGCAGATGAAGAGCTGAACCCTCTTGCTGAATGCAGTGTGTGTGTTTACACATCATTCTGGAAGCGCCACTGAACACCAATGCTCCACTATTAAGAGACTCTGTCAGATACACACGAACCCAGCTTCTTGTACGTGGACATAACTAACAGCCAGTGAGAAGTGAGAAGTATGTCTCTGAACTGGTAAACGGTTAATCCATAGTCTTTCAGCACATTTCATTCAGTCACTACTGACTTACACCACTGGGCACTGGACACAGTGCTGGGCAGGGTTTGTCACTGAGCAGCCCCACCCCCCATTTGTACAGCTTGGACTTCAGCAGTCACTCTGTGACATACCTGAAATTGGATTATTCTTTCTTGAGAAAGGCACAAGTACATTCTTTCTGTATCCTTAAGGTAAAATGCACATTTGTGGAGTTGTGAAACCGGGTCATCTGCGTCCAGTAATGCTGTCTGCTTATCAACTTTCCTAATTATCTGTGTTTCAACAATTCGAAAAGTGAGTCATCAACATGCAGTTTCCTTATACACTGTCACAGTCCATAGAATATGCCACATTAAAACTTGTAAGCAACAAGGTTAGGAATAAAAAGCCACTGTAAATACATGCTTTTTAACTGGAAATCACCCCTTCAAAGAATACATTAAGAAATAAGGAAAGCAGTCATTTGCTGCTCAGTCTAGTGCTTTTTAAACATTAACATACACATAAGTTATCTGGAGTCCTTGACTGAAAATGCCTAACCCACCATTGACTCATTTAGGGCCCAGGACTCTGCACTTGCAACACACCGGTGCAGTGAATGCTGCCAATGGACACACGATTTTCACTGTCGGGTTCTGGTGATCTTTTCAATATGTAAATTTAATAGTACAAGGAACACCTACAATAAGCTACTGGATAGTGCTTCCCAACCTTCGCAATGCTGCGACCCTTTAATACAGTTTCTCGCATTGTGGTGATGCGACCCCCAACCATAAAATTATTCTCATTGCTATTTCATAACTGCATTTTGCTACTGCTATGAATCATAACGTAAATGCTGTGCTTTCTGACAGTCTTAGGTGACCCCCTGTGACAAAAATCACTCAACAAGCCCTGGGGGTGAAACACACAGGTTGAGAACCACCAGTCTAGACAATCTACAGAACCCGTGTGGGTACACGATAGACTGTGCTGGCAAACTTTAAAGGACACCACGAACAGCTAGTCACTCAGTCCCATGGAGCGTACAAACACAATATAAGCACTTACACATGCAGTGAGCCTCGTCCTTCCCTCCCTCTCCCCCAAGCCTGCTTCTCGGTGCTCCTCACAGCCCAGTCTCCAGAAGCCTCCACAACAGGGGGCCTCAAACTCCCTAATGCTGAGACCCTTTAATAATAGTTCCTCACACTGCGGTGCCCTCCAACCATAAAATAATTTGTTGCTACTTCATAGCTGTAATTCTGACACTGTTAGAGATTGCAATGCAGATATCTGATCCCCAGAGAGGTCACAAGACACAGATTGAGAACTACTGCCCCATACCCTTCTGTCAACGTTCCCTTTGTTAGCTGCTTATCAAGGCCACCAAGAGCCTCCAGACAGGTGACCCTCATGCATTCCTTCTCGACAGTACTTCACAGCCTCAGAATCACCTGATTCGGGCAATCTTCCCAGAGCCACACCTGCTCTAACAGGCCTTTCACAGTGCCTTACATATGCCACACCTAGTCAACATTCCCACTTAGGATATTTAGTCTACATCTTAAACTTACAGCTCTGGAGAGCAGAATTTTGGATTTTCTTTTCAACTTAAAGGGAATATAGTGTCTTTATAGTTTCACGACCTAATGAACAAAAATGCCCAAATCCTGTGCAATGTTCCTAAAGCAAGAAATACAAACTCTACTGAATTTAAACAAACGTTTTACTCAAGTAGCCCAACAAAAATTATGCGTATATATCTAGGCTTTTGAAAACTTGGTCCTACATTCAGACACAGCAAGTAACACACACAAAGGGTTACAGTACATCTGCAACAGTAAAGAAAAAATAACTGACACACAATCAAAAAGGGAACCAACACCAAGTTCATGTAGAAAACCTGCACAAGAGACTGCCCTCAGCAATGCACTCATAGCAGACGAACTCTTTAAGGGCCCTTACGAACTGAGCGAGACAGTGGCTAGTAGGCGATAACTGGGGCATTACATTTTAACTTTAAAAAGTCTTGAAAACTGAACTACGTTTTTCTCCCTCTCCTCTCCTGGTTGCTTCTTTCTCATACAGCCGAGGCTTACCAATCTTGGAAGTGCCATGCCGGTAACTGAGCACACAAGTTTAACGGTCTGCCCATAGTGGATGTAACCATCTCGAACTGTGAATTCCTCTCCTTCCGACTCATCGTCATCCACTATAGAAGGTACAAGACAGACACAATTGCTCTTTTAAAGTTTAGTACATGCCTATGAAAACAGCAATGACTGTATTCATACACTTTATCCCCGTAAAGAGAGTATACCATTTTCACACTGAAAACATCAACCGTACACTTTTGTACTCACAGAGATGAATGTAAAAAGCTCCCCACTGTTGTGAACTAGCGTGGAAATTTCCTCCTTCTACGTGCAGGTATCTGGTGCTAACTGTCTGGGATCGGAGTCGGTTAAACAACGCCACCTTTGTCCCTGAGGCGATGCACACTGCAATGACAAGAGGGTCCCTGTCTGTCACTGAGGCAGGGGCTCACACAACACGACTTCTGCTTGGCAATTATATTTTTACAGTAACACAAATAATGAACAGATTCTGATGGCAAATACTTTATTTCGCCTTCGAAGACAGGGAATAGCAAAAGGAAACAAGGCCTACTTTTTCACAATATCATCAAGACGATGACATAAAAAAGAGTTTAAATGATTGGGGTGTTTTGGTTGTCGTTTTTGTTTTTTAAAACTAGTTTCAGTTCTTTGTTTTGTTTGATTTTTCTAGACAGGGTTTCTCCTGTAGCGCTGTCTGTCCCAGAACTTGCTCTATAGACCAGGCTAACCCCAAACTCAAAGATCTACCTGCCTCTGCCTCCTGAGTACTGTGTTTAGCCATCACTACCAGCTACTTTCATTTCTTTTCATTAATTTCATTTTTTAATTTAGTATGGGCTTTACAAAACGCAGAAGTAAAGAAAATTAATAATGCAAAGAACCATCTTGTTTGTACCCTTCACTCAGCTGTCAACATCTCACTCAGAAAACATTACACAATACACTTAATATAGTGACAAATATCAGTTGTGAAATTATTTTAAAAATAAATACCTAATGGTAGACACTTGATTAAATTGATTATAGTAATATTCACCTATTTCAATTACGTCTACATAAATTTCTGGAATATTACTTAATGAAAAGGCCAATTTTAAGACACTCTATACATTTCTGTGTGAGCACAGGACAGCTCTGCAGGCTTTCGTTAACTCTGTAAAGTATGTGTAGAAAGGTCTCTGGAAGAGTGTTTATCAGACCAGACAGCCAGTGCCACTGCGTTATGACGTTAGGGAATTCTGCAATCTCCCAAATAACCATAGCGTACTGCATGAAAAACAATACCTGCTTTATAACTTGTAAAATTTAAAAATAAAGATCACTTTAGCTGTGAAAAGCACATCAACTTAAGAAAATACTCTAAAAGTGAAATACACTCCTTTCATTACAAAACTATCAATACAAACACATAATTAAAGAAGTTAAAATAAAAATACCCGCCCCAAACTAAAACCCCAGCCTTCTGCAATCTGTCCTGGACACTGCCCGAATACAAGACGAGACCTGGGGCACAAGAGCACGTGGCCATCACTAAGGACTTACTGAAACAGAAAGAACGCTTAGATCTGGCCATGACAAGCAAGTCCTCCTGAACAAACTCCAGAGGCCCCTCCCAATTCCTTCCTATGTGTTCTCACTTGCTGCCCATCAACACCTTCCAAGTCGGCTGCTGTAGGGAGTCAGTCACGCCCTTCCCTTGATACAGGAATCACTCTGGCTGTCATTATCAGGGCTCCTATTGAGTTGCTTTAGTATTGAATTACTCTTAGTAATTATTCCATCCATTGGGCCCATCACTTTCCTCCTGACTGAAAACCGGGACTTGCTTTTGTTATACTGAAAGTGAACATGACTCCATACTAAAGTTTCTCCTCCTGAAACAGCACTAAAGGAAGTCTGTCTTTCCACTGTTCACTGTGTCAGCAGTTTCTTCTAAACATTACCAATTTATAGAGCATACACGGAACTACACCAAAAGAGTGAACTTAACAAATCTGCGTGCAGAAATTCCTAATGCCTATGTAGATGTCAAAGTTGTCTATATATTGCAGTGAATTTCAATTCTGACTCACTTGATTAAAAATGCAATTATTTTAGACCATTCAAAATTTGAACCCTGACAGGGCAGTGGGAGCATTTCTGCTTATGTGTCATTTTCTTATGATCATGGCATTATGCTACTAAAAAATAAGAAATTCTATCTGTTGTAGCTACACAATAGTATTTATATATACAGCAAATATCTGTAGGTAGACTGAATCAGAATAATGGATTATGATGAAATAAGACTGGCCTGAAATTAAGGTCACTATTGAAGGTAGGATTTCCACTTATTATGTAATCCTGTTTGTTTCAGTGTGTGTGGAATTTCCCACATTAAATAACTGATAGGAATAAAGTCTGCATGGAGTAAAATACATCTAAGTATGTGGAAGTTATATAAAAGGATTAGAAAATCAGTACTTTGTACACCTCGATGAAGTAAAGGTCCCTGAAGCACTGGTGTGCAGGTTTCTCAGGAGCCTTAGGAGACAATTAAACTGCTGAACTTACTACCATCTTTTGTTTTTATTTATTTATTACGTATGCAGCGTTCTGTCTGCATGCATGTCAGCAGACCAGAAGAGGGCATCAGACCTCATTACAGATGGATGTGAGCCACCATGTGGTTGCTGGGAATTGAACTCAGGACCTGTGGAAAAGCAGTCAGTGCTCCTACCCTCTGAGCAACCACCCCAGCTCATTACTACAGTCTCAATGTGACAAAAAGGAGATATTCTATGATGTCTAAGCCAGTAAGAACGCCCAGCTAATTTTAAAAGGTTTAATCACCAGGCCATAGAAAAGCTAAGGCAAAGGAACAAGTGATGAGCCAAATTCAGAGTATGAGAAACTCCATGGGATTCTAAATGACCCAGTGTCTTCAGCGAGTAACTTATATCAGAGCAGGGAGATACAAAAGTCTACCACAGACTAAAATTTACAGGCCTTACTTAATTCTATGTTTGAACAAGCCAACTATAAATGGAACACAACATAACAACAACAAAGTGTACATGGAAAAAGATTGTTGAGACATAGGACTAATCTACTCATGGAATATTAAATGACATTAAATGACGTCAACTCTGTGAGGCATGGTGCTTTGAGAAAAGCCGTGCATGGAGAGGCAGTACTACAGAAATGTTAGTTGAAAGTTTAGGATGTTGGAGATTTACATCAAAATATTCCAGAAGTTAAAGGGGAAGAGGTGCTGTTGGCGACCAAGCACAAACAGAGTGAGTGAAGTTACTGAGGTCGGGGAGATTGCTGCCTCGGGATACTTCCTCCTTTTACATACATTTAAAAGTTTACACGACAAAAAACCTGAAAGCCAGCCAACCAGACGTGCTGAAATGTAGACTGACTAGCAGAACCCAGACAATCTGCCAAGGGGACAGCCGCTCCTGTCCGTTAGACATTTGGTTTAGTGCCTGACCTGGCTTTCCAGGGCTTAGTGAGATGCTTGGAAACGGGCACCTGTGCCGTTCCGGAAGGACAGACTCTTTTGGAATGGGAACTACCTTGGGCACAGTAGGACATTTATTATCACTGGCCCACAGTGTCAGGTGCTTATAGTCAGCATTTATCTTCCCTCCCAGTCAATGAGCCAAAAGGGGAAGAGTCCCTCCATTTCCCTGGGACAGAAAGAAACCACTCTAAGGTAACCCTAATGAAGTAACAGATTCTCAGAACACCAACTGAGAATGAATTAAGCCAGACACTCCTTATTTTCATTTAAATTTAAATCACAGTCAGGCCAAAAATAAATAAATAAAGTAGTAAACAATGAATTTAAGTTTTAAAACATTTGTCTCATTAATGTAACATGATAACTGGGAACGAATAAGAAAATTAGCATACATACAATCGGCATTTTTCAATGACTGCTTCTTTTTGGAAGGTTTGGAGATGACTTTTATCCGCTTGCTGAGGAACACGCCAATGTCATCACTGTTGCCGTAGAACATCTTTACAGACAACATGAAGTGTTTTCTCTTGTCTGAATCAGATATGTACAATGTTTTGGCTGTGCAGTAGTTCTGGGAAAGAAAAGCAGTGGTGTTAACAGCAGCAAACCTTGAGGTTACGCACCGTCCGCTCAGGGGGTGCGGCCACATCTGACCCGGCACGGATGAGCCCACTATGGGTCAGCCAATGAACTGTTCACATTGCGCACTAAAGAGAAACCTCTCCAAGTTTTCAGAACAAACAATGGGCAAGGAAAGAAAGAGTGAGCTTAGTCAGAACATCTCAGTGTTCAGGGGTGGGAGCTGAGCATTACAGCCGTCAACAAAGCTGCCCTCCATTCCCTTCCTCAGCTTACCCAAGCCCACTTACTACAGGAAGCAGGAAAAGCACTGCCTAAGTCAACTCAAAAGAAGCAATATGAAAATAGCCACACATCTAGGAACCCAGCTCTCTCTGACAGCTGTGGACAAAGAAAGCGGAGCTTGAGGACTTGGTCTTCCCAAGTGTGACTGTGGGTGAGGATCCACGGGATGGATGTGGCTGGCTCCTACAAGTCCATCGGGGCCAAGGGCAGCAGAACATGCAACATAGGCCGAGACTCTTCCAGGTATCTACATAACACTAACCTGCAAAAGCATTAATTTGAATACCTCTTTAGTCCCATACAAAAATGACTACATTTACTCCAGGGAAAATCGCCTATGATCCACATCTACTTTTTAAAGCCTTTGTTTTATGTAGCTTTACATGTCCACAGAATCAACATTCAATGTTATAGCTACATAGAAGTAGTAAGACTATCGTAGCTTAGTAGAATTGTGTGAAAACTGTTGGTTGCAGTTTTCGCAGTAGCTCATGCTATGTTTCTCTTTATATGACTGAATGCTGTGGTAACAGCGCTAGAGAGAACGGGACGATTAAACATCTACCTTATCTTCAAGGGTATACTAAAGAACTATTTTAAAAACAGATAAACTTCGTTTATCACAACATTACCATAAGAACCAAGCTTAAAGATACAAGAGAAAACCCTCACTTGCCCAAAAGCAGCAATACCTTGAAATGCTGCTGTTTCGCCTGTATGTAATGGTCCTGGAACTCGTGATCACGGTGAACTGGGAGGGCCTGAGCTAAAACACTGACTTCCTTTACCAAACAGGGCAAACTGTCCAAACTTATTCCAGCTACTACTGTGTGCTCCTTTTAAAATGTGCACTTGTCAAAATGAGTGCTCCTCTCCCAAAGTACTTAGTGAATTCTAGCTCTTGTCCTTACAGTTTACTAATGTGCATGCCTAGTAACGATGAAAACAGTGTAACACAGGCACACAAGGAAATATAACTGGGATCCTGAATATTCGAAATTGTGAAAGGCCTTGCCGTGTAAAAGGCAAAAGTAAGACAACAGTAATAAAAGCGAAACACAATAGCCCTTTGCAGTGTCTCTTCTGTACTGAGACATGCCGTCTCTGAACTCACACATAAGCCATATTTTTTTTTTTAAAAAAAAAAATACTAGCTAAAGGTCAAATTTAGAACTGTTTTGCTTTAGAACATAGGATGTACATAGTCAATGTCCAAAGCAGATAAGTCACCGAAAGAAAGATGAAAAGTGTACCTAAACACGGGAACTACATCACCCCCGTGGGAAAGCCTAAAAAAAGCTCGCTTAGTTTGGCGTGCTAACATGACCGGGTGTGGTCTACGTCAAGAACGAGGACACTGTCCAGCGTGAATAAACGGTGGACACAAGCTTCTGACACCTGAGTAAAGGCACTTGCTGCCGAGCCTTCACGTCACCCCTGGTCCTACAGGGCAGGAGGGCACCGTGTCTCCTCTGAGGGGTCCTTTACCCTCGCTTGCATCCCAACGTGTAGGACTGAGTGACACGGTCTAACATGGGCTGACAGAAGGATCTACTTCAAGCTGACCTGACGCAGCCTCCAAGGAGCTTAGTACCAGTATCCAGGGAGAGACAATCAATGACGCTATTGGTTGGTTGCTTGCTTGGTTGGTTGGCTGCTTTAGTATTATCTTGCTGGGAGGTAAGATGACTGAAAGCTAGAACTAGTTAAATTAAGAATGAGGTTCAATCAACACAGTTACACATACTGATAGCTAGACCCTTGGCTTTTTACTACCGACTTTTCTACTCATTAATGAATTGCATGTCTAGGGGTAGAGTATGCTCTATGTAACTACAGAAATCATAACAACAGAACAATAGATCAAACCCTCTGTAAAGTATTTTTTAGGCTCAACAGTCACAATTTAAAATGGCTTTACCGCTCTATTTTCTTTTACAATAAGCATTCACTATTAAAAAAAAAAAATCTCATTATACCAAACCTACGTTATTGATTAAAAACTACAGAAACATAATGGCATACAAATAGTCAATTTGAAGGTTAGCTGTATGGCTTCTTAGTACTCTCTGAACATGACTAACTGTAATCAGGAATGCTAATTAATATCTCACATCAACACTGTAGACCATCCTGTCATAGAGTCACAAAATTTATAAACGCCAAGCTAGCCAACAAAGAGTTATTACATAAGAAAACTGCTTTACATGCTACTTAAAATGTTAGGTGGTTACTGAGCTCAGAACCATTTTCTACGTATTAAGGGAAAGTAGTGGACACGAGGAAGTGTAATAAATGGACGCACCACCTTCCTGAACTAAAGCTGTGTACCGACTGTTACTGTCAGCCGAGCGGTACAGTGTGCTCTGAGCAATCTGTGTTCTGCACTGCTGCTGTGTTGGTCAGACACGGGTCACTATACTATACCCAGATCTACCTGCCCCGTGTCGGCAGCCGTTTCTCAGTGAGGGGTGAAGATTAAAAGGACAGAACAAACCACAGCTGAGGAATGTATTTTCACTAATACCTGGGCATCTCAATCCTGCCAGTCAGAAAACGAGGGGCTTGTTTCCTAAGCTATTAGACTCCAGTGTGACTTCAGCTAAGGCAGTCAAGAAGGTAGAATAGTGTCCCAGTGCTGCCTGTAGACGCTAACACACACTCCATGAGTCACCACACATAGCTGTCCTGCAGGTAGGCTTTTGATCCCGATACACACATTTTAACAGTTGTTACCAAAAGCATTTTAAAAAACACCATAAACACTGATGAGAAAAAAAAAACTAAAATAAATATTGCAAAACTGAATGCAGAAATGTACACTTTGAATTTACCTTCCCTTCCAAGTTCAGCTGCTGCATTTCCTGATCACTATTTCCTATTCCAATGAATGCACAGGGTTGAGACTCTTGCTCTGAACAACCATCTCGTTCCATTTGTTCTTTTTTTTTCTTCCAACCACTGCCCATAAGATACACACAAGGAGGAGGGCAGAAAAATCTGAAAGGAAAAGAGGGCGGGGAGGGCCAGGAAAACAATTAAATTCAAGAGCACTTCACTTTTTATATATTAATTCAAAAATCGTGTTTCAATGTACTAAGTTTGTTCCTAACAAAGCATTTTGGTGAAGTCATCTATAAAGTGAATAATCATGTCAAAAGGACTGAAATACAAACTTTCTGTTCTAGTAAAATCTGAGCATTACACCATCAGTTATTAGTCCTGCTTCGAGAAGCTTCCCTTTGAATTCTCACAGCTCAAGGCTCTGAGCAATTGTATTGGAGTTGGGCAAATGCAAAACAATAGAGCACCACAGAATCTGTGATTACTAATTAAGTTCAAGTCAAGATAAGAGCATCAATAATTTCAATGCTATTCTCGTGTATTATATTTAACTTTGTCAACTCACCTGGAAAACAGCATTAAAGCAACACCTCAAGTGAGGCAACTCAGGAAAAGAGAAAACAGGCTACTTGATATGAGCTCTACAACAAGTCTGTGCTTTTTATGCATCTTAACCCCTGAACACCTGGAATGCATGGCTGAGAAACATCTTGGGCCAAACGGAAAAATACACTGTATTCTTTCAGCCCAAGACTACTACCAGATCTGCCTTGCTGTGCCCCCCCCAAAAAGAAAAAACCTGACTTCCCACGTTCTCTCCACATAATATACTGTCTTAACCTAACCATCAAAAGGCAGAGTTCAAACTATGAATTCATTCGTTATGTAGAGCATATTGTACTTGCCCAATGATATATAATATACTTTTGCCTAATGATACCCATTGACATGTACATATCTTAAAATATTTGTGTTCTGTCTCTTTAAGGGGCCTGAAAACTCAAATGACTATAGTAGCCAGGAAAACAGCATAAATGAATGAAGCAGGTATATAATTAAGAGGCAGGAAATATCTTTCACCTAAATAACTAACTTCCTTCTCCCCTTTCTTTAAAAAAGGCCCATGTGGTAATTCCCACTTTTTATATAGTTATGAATATAGAAAAAATGTCTTGATTTTGTTTATCTCACTATAAGTAGAACAGCCTAACTGTAACAAATATCACCCGCCTGTGCCAAGCCCAGTTATAAGAAGCATGTGGATATATGCACCTTTCAAGCTTCTCCTACTGGCCTGTGACATCTTCCAGTCAATTGATACTGCAAGTCAGGTTTTACCTAAAACCCAGACTAAAGAAAATAAATTACGTCACTGGGCAGGCATGGTGGCACACGCCTTAATTCCCAGCACCCAGGAGCAGAGACCAGCACATCTCTGTAAGTTCAAGGCCAGCTTGGTCTAGCTACACAGTGAGTTCCAGGACAGCCTGAACTATATAGTGAGACCCTGTCTCACACAAAAACCAAACACAAAACTAAAATCAAAACCAAAATCCAAAATGAAACAAAGTATGTGCTTATGCATACAGTTTCAGGTGCGTGGGGGGTGTGGGGGTGTGAGCAGTTGGCTTCCTCTTGAGCAAATCAACATTAGCATGTACTGAACAACCTCCAAATGTACTGGCACCTTTTGTCAACCCCAACCAGACGATTTTCCAAGTAACTGACACATGTAACTTACAAGAATTGAGCAGAGATTATTCAGTATCTATTAGTTCTCTAAATTACGTATTATCTCCTCCAGGTACCAGGAATACAGTCATAAAAATAAAAGAAAACAAACTTACACTCTAATAGGAAAGACAAGGGGGAAAGACGGGTTTAAAGTAAAGACTGTTAGTTGGCTAGCAGTAAGTCCTTAGCAGACTGAAGCCAGGGTAGGTGCTAAACTGTGGGCTGCTGGGGCGGCCAGGGGACGTCCCTAAGGAGGTGACTGCAGCACCTAGAGCGAAGGAAGAGGAAACTCAGAGGCGGGCTGGTTAGAAGGAGGGGTCAGCCAGAGGGACCACTGTCGTGAGTCCCCGTGAAACCCAATGAGCAGTACAAGAGGGCCCTCACGCCTGCCTGCTCACACTTGAGACCACACCTACCACGGTCACACAGACAAGGCACTGCCGGACTTCCCGTCTGGACGGGTGTCTACACTGGCGGGGCATGCTTTACAACTGTTCCCGTTTATGTCTATTCCAGGGTTCTTTCGGGCCCTGAATGGCACTGGCCACCAAATGCACGGGCTGACAAATCTCAAATACCTAGGCTAATGTACTTTTAGGAACTTCATCCCTTGTTAGTATTTTAATGGACACTGATTATTATTAAAAACTCCTTGGTGAGTTGATATTATCAAATTAAAATGACCATGCTTTTAGAGAATATACCAAATGTAGTTAGTAGTCAAGATCTATGAATCATCACAAAATGTACTTTAATTTCACATCTGAAGACGATAGGAACAGTGAAAAGACAAAGGAATGAATGTTTAGGTGTGCATGACAGTGCTGCAATAAAATACAGGAAACAAATGGCATAAAATTAGCCAAACAGGCTGGGCACCCAGGACTTGGAAGGCAGCTGGATCTCTGTGCGTTTGAGGCCAGTCTGATCAGAAGGGGAGTTCCAGGACGGGCAGGGCTAAGCAGAGAAATCCTGTCTCGAGGGGGGTGGGGGATCCAACAGGGACAAAAAACCAAAACTACTCAAACAGACTAACGTTCTTTATATAAGCACTAACCAAATGCGGGCATTGTGGCTGTGCTGCTTGAATAGGAATGCCCACCACACACACACTCACGTGTTGGAAGGCTTGGCCCATGGGGAGTGGCGCTATTAGGAGGCGTGTGCCACACTGTGGGGGCGGCTTTGAGGGTTCATGTGCTCAAACTATGCCCAGCATGGCACAGTCCCCTGCTGCTGCCTGAGGCTCAGGACGAAGCGCTCCTGTGAGCTTAAGGCCAGCCTGGTCTACAAAGCAGATGCCAGGGTTATACACAGAGAAACTGTCTCAAAAAGACAAAACAGAAGCAAAAAGAAGACCCCTCAGCTCCTCCAGGACTACGTCCCCCTGTAAGGCACTGTGATAATAGATTAAACCTCTGAACTGTAAGCCAGCCAATTAAATCTCTGTAAGAGCTGTCTGTCATGGTGTCTCTTCACGGCAAAGGAACGCTGGCTAGAACAATGGTTTGCACCTTTAATCCAAGCATTCATAGGCGGGGGCAAGCAGATCTGCTGAGTTCAAGGCCAGCCTGGTCTATGTAGTGAGTTCCAGAACAGAACAGCCAATGCTATAGGGCGACCAGACTCTGCCTCAAAACAAACAACCCCCAAGACAACAACACCAAAAAAGCCCAAACCACTGACCAAGATGCTACCTGGAAAGCTTTCCTTTTTTTGGTTCCTCTGTACTGCTTTCAAGTCTGTCCTGGCACTCCCGCCGTAGCCCAGGCTGGACTCAAACTCACAGAGACCCGCCTGCCTCTGCCTCCCGTGTGCTGGGATTAAAGGCGTGCGCCACCACAGCCCAGCGAAAGTTTTTCAAGCTTACAATAAATATAAGAAAAATAAAGGCTCTTCAATAGCCTATGTGCTAGCCCTGTTTCTTTCTTCCTTCCTTTCTTTCTTCCTTCCTTTCTTTCTTTCTTTCTTTCTTTCTTTCTTTCTTTCTTTCTTTCTTTCTTTTCTTTTCGAGACAATGTCTTGTTTATTTTTCTATAGCCACTAGAATTACTTAAAATAACTAAGACAAGAAAATAATAAATCCATCAGAATTGAAACAATTCTTTTGCAAGATGTAGATGAAATCACAGCTTTAATCTCCCCAAACTGTCACTCCTAAAAATAAATTAACTGAAGTGATAATCAGATAAAGTATAAATATATACACAAAAATAAAGAAAAAGGAAATTGAAGGGAGTGTGGAATAAACACCCAAATAGTTAACCAAAGAAAAATTAAGGTGCATTTCTGTGTTTGACACTGACTTTTAAGGGCTGCTATAAACTCTGAAACCATGCAGCCTTTCTTTTCCTTTCTCCTCATTTCCAGCATCTCTCAACTGACACGCAATGCTGCTCTCTCCCACTTGGTGGCAGTACGTATACAATTAAAAGGAGCTTTTATTTAGCTATTAAACTTGCCACTGGCATCATCTGAAGTAACATCTATGTGGGAGTCCCTGGCACAAGTTAACACGGTCCTTAGTGAGACCTTACAATCAGAGTCTAAGTGTAGTTAGTGATTACACCCAGAGCACCTCTAGAATAACTGCCTGCTCTCCAGGAGACGACACTGAATGAATATTAATAACAAGAGGCAAATCAACACAGCCTCTAGAGGAAAACAATCTTTCTAAGAAGTTTGGTCTTTTAAAAACCATCTACTGCTCTTTAATGACAAAGTAAAATAGATGAATACTATCAATGTGTGTACCAAATATGAGACACAGATGCTAATACAAAGAATAATTTAAGATTTTTAAATGGAATTTCCTGGCCAGACATTTTTAGCATTAGTCACCGGAACTGTTTTTTATGACAGCGGCATGGCCAAAGTGTCTGCGGTCATGTCCCCAGGCTACCTCACGCCTTATGCCTGTGCCTGGACCAACAAGGAGGGTGAACCTTCCTCTTTCCAGAGTGCAGACCAGACCCATCACTTCTTTTAATCTACAAGGAAACCTCAGCCAAAGAGCCAGTCATAGGAGGGCAGATGTCTCTGTCTCTCTTTCTTCCTTTCCAAACCAACAGGGTTCTAACTGTATTGTAAAGCAGTGTGTTCACCTTGAAAATATTAACAATACACATGACTCAAAAGGTATTGGAAAGGAGTTGCTCTAACATCAAGGTGGTTTTTCCATTCTTTTAATTAACTTAATGGGGGGGGGGTGGTAAAAAAAAAAAAAAAAAAAACCTAAGATTTTTCCAAGTGTTTGACTGGGGTTATGGACCGACTAAGCTGTAGTCAAATAAAAGCTGGTAAAACAGGCTACTGTAATGAAAGGCAATCTAAAACATTTACAATGACTTGCTAAGTCACTGCAGTCCTGTGGCCCCACACTTCCTACTGTGACTAACAAATCCTTTTATTACTTCACTAGGCCTCAGCCATCCACCGTGAGATTAAATACTACAGCTATCTTTTACAGGCCCTCTTACACTGGCACCTAACAATTTCTAAAAAGGGTTACATGCAGCAACAGGCCTGACTGCTTTAGCGCTTTCTCTAAGCTCCAGCCACTGAAAAGCAGAAACAGTACTCCCCATGTTTGTAGCCCCTGATTAACATGTTTGCCCCATGCTTCAGTGAGGTCTACACTGGTCTCCTCTAATCAATGGCGATGATGGGATGAGACTCAGTGACATTCACAAGGAGTACTCAACCTACTAAGAAGTAAGTCAGCATCAACACTGAATCCAGGTGATAGTGTATTCCTTTGGAATTTCACTTAATGGGAAAAAAAATAACTACAGAATTCCTCCAATTCTGGCACCAAGGCTAGCTAAGCAATGGGAACACAGGCTTGTTCAGAGTCCCCTATCTTCATTTCCCTTAAATGCTCCACCCTAGCTTGGGCAGAAGACTTCTCTGGCTCAGTATTGGCCTTGCACAGCTTTCTTTAGCAGCGAGAAGCACTCCTGTTCTCCTTAGACAACTGGCCAGCGTGAACTACAGTCCCTGTCACCGAGGCTGGCAGTGAGTGACTGGCTTATTAGAATGCAATGGCTGTGGGCAGTTGGGATGTTATAGACCCAGGGCTCTTGAGCTACCTTCCGACTCTTGGACAACCATTCACTGCCTACCAGGGTCTGACTATGAGCTTTGCTACTGACTGTCATGTCATGTAAAATCTGTTAGAGCATTGCCATCAGACACACCTTTCACCAACAATGGCTAAGAGTCTCATCAGACAGCAGCACCGCCTTTGCTCTAACCCACCTAACCATGAAGTTTGCATTTGTGACCTTTTGTTCTGTAGCTATAAACCCTGACAAACCACATTCACACTACAAGACAACACGTGAAGCAACCTAACCCTGTGTGCCTGGGCCATGACCATCCATGCTTGGCTCCAGAATTAAGGTAAGAACTGTTTTGTGCTAAACACTACACAAACACACTAAATTTCAAGTTCCAGGGCAGCCAAGGCTACACACAGAAACCCTGTCTCAAACAAACAAATGAATAAATAACAAACAGACACAGACCCAAACCTGAATGTCTAGTGCCAACTTCATGAACAAAATGGCAGTTAGCTACGAATGAGTGGCCGAGTTTCACATGTCATTTACTGGGTATGACGCACACCTTAGGAGCTCACTTCATATGAGGAAGGCCTGTGAGTCCCACCACCACCTGTGCAGCAAAGCTAGAAAAGGTGAATGAGAACTGCCACAGCGGGTGCACAGACCCTAGACACCGTTCCCACTGCTCACCCTCTTGGAGAATAACTATCAATTCAAAAGCTGTACTTTCTTTTCATCTCAGAGATCATGGAGCAGACTTCCTGATCATGTCCTATCCTGTGAAGCACTAAGGAGGGCCTTCATGCCTTACATACACAGAGTAAGCCAACGGGCTCTCCCTGTAAAGTAGCATCTTTACCTTGGAAACATTAACAGTACACATAATTCAAGATAATGGAGAGTAGTTACTGTAACATCAAGTTGGTTTTGCTTCTGTTGTTGGGGAGGGGGGGATAGGTCAAAAGCTTAGATTCTTCAAGTATTTAACTGTGGTTATGGACTGACTAATAATAGGTGAAAACAGGGTACTGCAATAAAAGGCAATTGTTAAAATGCTTACAATGGCTTCATAAGCCACTGCAATCCGTATTTATTAAACATTTGTATTTCCTTTACCACACATTCTACACTTTCTCATTCTTTTCAACCCAGTCTCCAAACCCACATATCCATCCCTTCTGCTAGTTAGGTACCCTCCCTGGCCAATCCCAAAACTTCTGATACCACAGCCCCAAGCATGCTATCTTCACCCATAAATGCTTAACAAAGCATGCTGTCAGAGAGACGATGGCGTGGGAACAGCAGAGATGAGGCTCTGAGGCAGCAATGACCCGGTCCAGCAGGCCAGCTCCGGGCACTGCCATCAGTCCACTCTGTGACAGCTGCAGCTGAGTGGCTGCACTGAACTGGGGTGCTGAACTGAGGGTGTGACCAAGTGGTAGACCATGTACGCCGCATGCATGAAGCCCTGGGCTTGATCTCCAACACCAATTAATAAAAAACAACCCAAAGAACAACAAATCCATAATTACCCCAAACACAATGAGATGTAGGAGTTTTCATGAAAGCGACTACACAGAAATGACATTGATAATAAATACCTTTACAGGTAATTTCTGTAGTGGCCATTTAGGTTTGAGTATGAAGGAGATCTGTCTTTCTTTTTCTTAGATGGACCTTGCAATGTGGCCCAGAAATTCTTGGGCTCAGTCATCCTCCTGACCTGGCCTCCAAAGCAGGTGGGTGGGCCTATCGATGCGCACGGCTGCCATACGCATGCGACAGATGAGCTTTCTCAACTACCATGTACAGGGTTAAGGAATTGGGAGCTCTGTAGAATGGCTCCACAGCTTAACTTAAATGGCCCTCAAACACAGGTACAGTTACAGTCTTTTAGCCTTTACTATGTATTATGTATTATCTGTACAAAATCTGCCTGCCTGCCTGCCTGCCTGTCGTGGCACTGGGAACTGAACCCAGAGCCCTGTGCACACTGGCACACCCTCTATCACTGAGCTGTATCCCCAGATCTTTTAAAAAAGATGTGTTGATGGTGCACGTCTTTGATCTCAGCACTAGGGAGGCAGAGGCAGGTGGATCTGTGAGTCTGAGGTCAGCCTGGTCTACAGAACAAGTTCCAGGGCAGGCTCCAAAGCCCCCTGCTCCAAAAAAAATAAAAGAAGATTTCGTGCATGCGTGCCATGGGGGCCAGAAGAGGGGGCCGGTTCCCCAGGAGCTGGAGTCACGGCCCCAGGAGTGGAGACGGGAGCTTTATAGAGGGTCCCTGGAAGAGCAGCAAGTGCTCTTAACCACCGGTTCATGTCTCCAGCCCATCCCTAGACTTCTCTGGATTGACACTCATTCTGTAACCCAGAGCAGGTTTGAACTTGCCATCCTCCTGGCCACAGCATCTCCAGTGTGGAGGATTACAGAATTGTGTCACAACTGTATCTTCCCTCTTAAAAGGGCACCGGGGGAGGGGAGGTTGCAGTTGTTTATCAAATTACACTTTGTCCCCAAAGGGAAACTGCTTTGCAAATGAGCTAATGTGTCACTGAGGCTCTTGGAACACAGCCCCAAAGAAAAACAGACATAATTTTGTAAAATTACTAAATTTTTCTGACTTGAACATACCACCGTTCAGGGTTTGTCCCTTTTAAGAGATAAGTCTCCTCTTCATTTTCTACTATGCAAATAAGCCCAGTAATAAATATAGCCCCAGACAAAAATATAAATCATATGTAAATTGTACAATAAGTATCTATTTGCTCAAAAATCCCCAATAATCTTACCGTTTTTCATTTCCATATGACTTCTGTGCAACTTTTGCATGAAGAATGAGTACTGTTTGATCCCCTCGTTCTTTTAAATAATTTCGCATAGCTTCCCTGAAATCAAATATAAACATTATTATTGTAGGGATGATACTTTGATGAAAATGAAAATAAACAAGTACATGAGCCACCCTAAAGAATTGTGTACAAAGACAATACATACCCATGTCCACTCTGCATTGTTGTTGCTACAAATTAACGTACAGCTGGGTATGGTGGCACACACCTTTAGTCCCAGCACTTAGGAGGCAAAGGCAGGCAGATCTTTGTGAGTTCAAGGCCAGCCTGATCTACAAAATAAGTTCTGGGACAGCCTAGGCTATTGTTACACAGGAAAAAACTGTCTCGAAAAATTAATAGACAGACAGACAGACAGACGACACACACACACACACACACACACACACACACACACACACACACACACACACACACAGATGACAGCTTTGCACTGCTATAGCTTACCTTGTTCATGGACCCTTTCACTTCTTAAGTCTCAACAAAACATCAAATCCCCAAAATTGCTATTGCCTGGTCCCAAACTAACAGGCCGGTGTAAAGTTTGAGAAGGATCTGTCACTTATACACATACATATAATTGGCCAAAGGATGTCGTGCAATATATTAAATTCAGAGGCTAATTGAAATTGCTGAAAATTGTACTCAACTTTTAAAAAAAACTCAATATTACATCAAATTAAAACTGCAACATGCTTACTGAGCAAATGTTTTATACAAACTTCAGCGCATATTTATTCACTCAATCATCCTGCCAGGGCTAAGTGCCACACATGGGGTGGGGGAGGGGGAAGACACGGGACTCTTACACAAAATTTAAGCGTCGGTGGGTGGCGGTGACACTTGTCTTTGCACTCAGTACTCTGGAGGGCAAAGGCTGACAGATAATCTGAGTTTGAGGCCAGCCTGGTTGTGGTGGTTTGGGGGAAAATGCCCCCAAAGGGACTGTTGCTATTAGAGGTGTGGCCTCGCTGGAGGAAATGTGTCATTGTGGGAGGGAGCTTTGAGATCTCCCATCCTCAAGTCAAGATGCAAGAATTTCTGCTCAGTGTCCAGCACCATGTCTGCTTATTACATGCCGACAATGGACTAAAGACCTGAAAATGTAAGCCAATTAAATGCTGACTTTATAAGAGTTGCTGTGGTCATGGTGTCTCTTCACAGCAATGGAAACAAACACCAAGACACTGGTCTGTAAGTTCTAGGACAGCCAGGGCTGCGCAGAGAAACCCTGTCTCGAAAAAACGAAAACAAAAAAAAAAATTAAGTTAGGATAATCAAGATCTTACTAAATTTTAATTCCTCTATAAAGACAAACACACCACACAGACATATACCCAAGCAACAGTAATAGGCTGTCAACTGTCAAAAGCTATTAAATATAGGGAATTATAGATTTCTTGTCACTTGTCACTAAAGGGCCTGGACAAACCACTGAGCCTCTCGCCTAGCTTTTATTTTCAGATCTGAAAATTGGGCGCTAACACAACCCAGTTAGCTCAGGGTGGCCAAATGGGTCAAATTAGATAACCTAAATGACATTTGTTCTTACTGAGAAAAAAATCTTTTAGCGGCAAGACACCTGAAAGTGTGCCAGTGTGCGTGGAGAGACTGGGACAGAACAGACGCAGCAGGGCACTACTAGCAAAGGTGTGCACAGAAAGCCGGGAGACAGCGTCTGTCTAGGTCAGGGAATAGGGGGCGAGACTGGGGGTGAGGGGCGCTAAAACTCAACACAAGGTGGGCTGGGAACATGGCTCAGTGGATAAAACCTTCGCAAGAACTCAGTTACATGCCAGGTAAACGTGGCGACCCGTGTGTAATTACAGCCTTGCAAGCGCCAGGAGATTCCCGGAGCAAGACCAGCTATACTAGCAAGTCCTGGATTTATTTAAAAGACTGGCTCAAAAGAATAGAGAGATTGATGGAGATTCCCTAGTATACATGAAAAAAGGACAAAAGCATAAACAAACAAAACAAGATAAAAACAAAAAGTCAAGAGAAAGCCAACACTTTGTCAAAATTTGTACAAAAGTCCCAGGTAGGATCTTGAGAAACAGCTATGTACTTGGAAAGTTTTGGCTGTAAGCATATTTCCAAACTACACTCTACTAACATTTGTGGACCCTGGTTTAGCTACCACTTAAGGGTTTATCAGGTTTGCCTATATCCCAGTCAGACTATAGAGGCTTCAAGTAAAAGAACCTGAGACAGGACAGATTCTTTCTAGAGATAATGTCAGTATTGAAAGACTGACACTGAGCGGTGAGCTGTGCTAGTTATTTTTCTAAGCAAGCACTAATACATCCAACAGCCCTGACGATGGCATATGACCGCGCGTGACCATGTTAGGAACGGGGAAGGTGAACTTTCCTGAAAGACACACAAGTCAGGATGTGAGGCTCAGTAGTGAAGCAATCTCAAAGACAAAGCTGTACTACTTACTGCAAGTACAAAGGCCACAGCTCTGTGGGTCTGAATCTTAACTCTGGGGGAGGGGCATACCGCAAAGTAAGTTAAACCCTACTGAGGAGTAGCTCCTGCCAGGAGGTTACAGATATCAGCACTGCTCTCTTTAAAGAGCCTCTCCAAGCTCTGAACTACACAGGCTGCAGGGGAGAACGGGGATGGGGACTCCCACAAAACTTTGCAGGCAAGCTGGAAGAAGGACTTAGGGTGCTACTGGCCATTTTATTCAACTTGGGCAGCATGGCTTCTGATAGCACACATCCACCTTCCCGTCCGTGTGGGACTCAGTGACGGCTGCTGCTCTCTAGGTGCCTGGCACTGTATAGTGTTTAGTACTAGAAGCAGCTCCAGTGTTATATGGCTGCGTATGGCAGACAGCTTCAGCTTCCTTGTTCCCTTCATTTAGTACAAATGGAACAGCAAGTAGAGTCTGGTCGTAGTCATTAGTAATAGTTCTCTGCAACAGGGACTTGCCAGATGGCCTCTTGCAGATTAAACCAAAATCTTTTTCCTTAAGGAAGGCTTGTTTGTTTGTTTTGTTTTCTGTGAACAACTTTCCTCAAGGGCTAATTTTGACGTGGACAGTATAGGAATAGTACCAATAGTAAACAAATTCCCAGCACCCTTGGTCACCAAAGCTGAAGAAATTGGAGAGTCTGATCCTAGAAAGACGTATCATTTCATTTCTGCTCTAAAAAAGTCAAAATGTCCCTCCATCCTACATGAGTTATTAGTGGACAGAAGAGTAAACTGCTTGAAATCTTACCACATAGCTAAGAAACAAATTCTTTCTAATCACTCTTGTGATTTCCCCCCTCCTTTTAAAGCCAGTCTGTAAGATATGAGCCACGAACACTCCTGTGTCTTACAACTCTGCAAATTTACTTTGTAGATAACCACTCACTGTGTGTGCAGAGAGAAAGGTTAGAGAGGTCTCTAGAGTGAGCACTGGACAGTCAGGACACTGCCTTGATGTCCAGCCCTGTCACCGTGAACTCTAGGGATGCCAGGTGCCTTCCTGCTCTGCTGCTGTCTTACCTTCAGGCTCCCTTCACCTGTGGTCAGCTTGTGCTAATTCAGTGTGACGCAGCGGTTCTCAACCTGTGGGTTTATCTAAGCCCACCAGCAAACAGATATTTCTACAACCTCTGTGTCAAGCCAGACCGGACACTCCGACAACCATAAAAATCTTTTAGATTTTCCACCAAAGACTAAGATAGCATACCGGGCCCACCTCCCCATCTTGCTGCAACCTGCTTCTCTGAGGTTTCCATCCATGTATTTTTTTGAGTTTTGATGTTGTTTGGTTGGTTTTTATTGAGACAGGGTTTCTCTGTGCAGCCTTTGCCATCCTGGAACTAGCTCTGTAGACCAGCCTAGCCTTGAACTTGAGAGATTTGCCTTCCTCTGACTCCCAAATGCTAGTATTAAAGGTGTGTGCCATCACCGCCTGGCTCCATCAATGTATTTTTAAAAATCCCTTGATTTATAACTTTCTTTGTTCTGTTACCATAAAAACTTCATGGAGAGACTTAAATAAATGTTCTGGGCCATGGTCACTTAATATATTGCTACTGATTAACCTTGCCCCCCCTTTTTTTTTTATTATTATTCCTTTGACATGAGAGCTGCTTCATCAACCATACACAGCAATACTTATCAAGTTTATAATTACATTTATACAAGATTGTCTTACATAATAAGAATTAATGTATTAAAACATCCTATTACACAAAAATATATACAGAAGAAAGAACGGCATCTTATTATGTAAAATACAGGGGGGTGGGTAGGAAAATGGCTCAGCAAATAGAGATTGCCTTGCAAGCCTGACCATCTTGAGACTGACCTACTCCTGAAAGTTGTTGTCTCATCTCCAAACAAGTGTGGCTGACACATGATGTCCCCCACACAGTAACAAATTAAACAGAGAAAGTGTGACTGACACATGATGTCCCCCACACAATAACAAATTAAACAGAGAGAATAGTGACTACTAAAGACTGGTCAAAACAGCTATCGTCCTAGCGTAAAATTACATGGTTTATGTGTCTCACGAATGGGACTTTTAAGAACAGAGTGGTGTCTCCATAAGTGCAAGAGAAGACACAGACAGGCTCTCTGAAAAGCTTTACTCCTGATACCACAAGATATTCTGGGTGAGAGAACAAAACATCATTCTAACAGTCATACAAACTTTAAAGTGGTGGTATACCTTACAAAGGAACTCCTCTGCTACTAAACCAATTCTAGTAAGAGCTTGAGTTAGCTGCTAGAGTCTGCAGTTATGAGGAGTAAATTAACAAAGCTATCTCTGAAAGAATGTGCAGACTTCTATCCCTAGGACCCACCTGTGGGAACTGAGAATATTCTCCTTTCTCAAGCTGACTTCCCACTTCTACAAGCACAGTGTAACAACACACAAATGTGTACACACACACACACACACACACACACACACAATGTAACTCTTAAGAATAACAAATTCAGGCATGCTTAAGTGCTTTTAATTAAAATGTAAATAGTGTAGAAAGAAGCCCCCACCCCCAATGAGAGACTCTCCACCCACACTGTTTACTATGGAAACAGGAGTTAGAAAAGAACAGCTCAGGGCAGGCCTTGACAGTTACCTAAAAGAGAAGACCGAGCCCCCAAATCACACTCTCTATAACCCAGTGGAAACAAACTCCTTTAAAGTATTTTTGGCCAAGTAAGAAATTGCTTCAAAGGAGAAACAGAAAAATGTAACTTCCAAGTATTAGGTAGTACTAAGTTTAGTATAAAAATTAATGAGAAAAATATCCCAATTCTAAGTTTGTACTCAATAAAACTAATTACGGCAAAATGTGTTTCAATTTGCATTTGCCATTAGATTGGCTTTGCTAAGTTTGCATTGGCAATGAAAGCATCTACCTTTCTTTTTGAGAGAAATAACGCTTAGTGGACTTCTCCCCCAGCAGTCTCTCAGGTTTTCTCAGATGTAAAAGGGTTACTAACTAAAATGTTAAGTTTTTATTGAGATCTAACTGGCATACCTCGTGGTGGTTTCAGCATGAGCACACTACACCACCACCATAAGAGATTCTCAGTTGCCCAAGGCTGTCCTTCTGAGTCTCTGAAACCCTTTATTCTGTCAGAAAGAGCGGCTTGCATTTTCTAGGATTTGTGATTGAAGGCTGCAATCCTTTTTTGAAGTTCTGAATAGAAATCTTTGCTCATATGGTACATTAGTCTATAGTTTTACTTTCTCATAATGTTTTTAGTAACATTATGACTAATGGAATAGAATGTCCTCAAAATAGAAATCTTTGCTCATGAGATGTTAGCCTACAGTTTTACTGTCTTATAATGTTGTCAGAAAGTAATGTTTACAAGCATTGTCTACCTTAGCTAACTGAGTAGTCTGTCCTTACAGAATGACTAACTAGGAACTACAGCCTCTCTCCACTTTTAGAAAGGTTATCTAGTGGCATTTTCTTCCTTAAGCACACTGTAGAATTCAGCAGTGAAGCCAGCCTATGCCTGCAGTTTCTTTGTTGGAAAGCTTTAATAACAAATTCAGTTTCTTTAGATAAGGTTGTCAACCTCTTCCTGAACAAGCTTAGACTGTCAGTTTAAGATACTTAAGCATTTCTTCAGAAGTTACTAAATGGACTAAGAGTTGCATTTGCTTATTAGCCTTTGGCATCTGCAGGGTCTGCAGTAATGCTCTCTTTCTTGTTCTTGGACCAGTAAATTAGAATCAGTTTTCTAGTCAATATTGCCTTTACGCTTGGAAGAATTTCTTTCTTCAGGTCTGTTTATGACATTTTTAATGTTTAAAGTCTCCATTTGCACCCTTTTGAATTAACTTGAAAGCTGTCTTAACTGTGTAAAATTTCAGACTGAAAATCTGCTGTGATCTTTATCTTTGTCCCTTGTTTTTAATTTTTTTCTCTTTACCACCAGTCATCAATTTGACAACAATGTGCTTCAACACACCTTTTAAAATTTTAATTTAGAAACGATCTCATTTTATATAACCCAGTTCTCTCTCCCTCACACCCCTCACAGCCCCCACCCCACTCTCTAAGGAGGGTGAGGCCTTCCGTGGGGGCCTGTGTCTAGGCTGGGAGCGCATCCCTCTATGGGGAGTGGGCTCCCAATGTCCATTTGTGCACTAGGGATAAATTCTGGTTCCACTATCAGAGGTCCCATAGACTGCCCAGTCCTCCTAAATGACACCAGCACTGAGAAGGTTTGGTTTGGTCCAATGCTGGTCCCCAGCTTTAGAACATACTTTTACACTTAACTGAGTTTCTTGGATCTATGGTTCAAAAGTTTCCAACAAAATATTTTCAGGTATTATTTCTTCCTATAATTAATCATAACTTCCTCTGCCTCCAAGTGCTGGGATAAAAAGGCATGTGCAACCATCGACTGGCCCTGTGTTTAACATTCTTAAGTACAATTTCTCTCCCTCCTTTCTTGAGGCAGGATCTAACTATGTAGCCTTGGCTGGCATGAACTCACTACATAGATCAGTTTGGCCTTGAACTCACAGAGATCTAGCTGCCTCTACCTCCTAGGCACAGTATGGAACAAAAGTGTGCACCACCATGCCCAGTCCCCAATTGTTTTTAATAAATATTTTAATAGTAATTATTTGGTAATATCCTTAACAGTCATCAATGTGAACAAAAAAGGGTGTGGGTATAACACCACCATGGAACTGTTACAGAGAATTCTCAAGTTTAAAGTAATATAATCCACTGTGGACTTAAAGGATGCAGAACACACCCCACCCAACTCCCACACCTCCTTCTTAAAAGACTAAGGCCAACACCGAGGGCTGAAACTATCAAGACCACTGGGTGTAAGACCACTGAGTTTCTGTATTTTACAACCCGACAAAATGTATGAGTTTTTAAATCAATTCTTTGAGATACAGAATTGAGAAGTTATAGTTAAAACATTATCACAAAAGTGAGTAAAATTAGGTTTTCTTTAGAATGGGGGAAGTAGTATTTCAATATTCATTTCAAAAAGCATCTATTAAATCTCATCTTACCCTTAACCATCAAAGAGTGATTGGCTAAACACAGTTGTGGTTATTTTTACAATATATTACTTAAGGTAAGATTCTGAGACTACTCCACTCTTTCACTGTTAAAGTACATCCTTTTAGTCCTATTTCCCCTTAGGAGAGAAGGGATGGAGGGGTGGGAAGAAGCTCAAGATGAATTACTATATGTGAACTGTTTCTAAGAGCTGTTCACATTAGTGTCTACAGTGACAGCTCATAGTCACTGTTTGATTGGCTAGTATAATGCTTACCTAGTGAGTCGTTTAGGTGGAGGCCGCTCACCAAACTTCCTAAAAAAAGAAAGAAAGAAAGAAAGAAAAATTTAAATAAAGTAAGAAAGTTATCTGATAAATACCACAATAAGCTATGAGGCACTAGAAAGTAACCTTATAGCTTGTCATTCTTGATGAACAGAAATCCCCCAACAATCATCTGTGCCCAGGAATAACAAATGCACAATACAAAGTTTTTAAAAGGAACAGCGTTGGGGCCAGAGGTGCTGAGCAGTTAAAAGTACTTGCTGCTGGGGAAGAGTGGTAGGAGATTTCCTCCACACCAGATCCCCGTCTTTCTACATTCACCAATGTATTCAGGAAATGTATATCCACAAGCATACAAAATGTCATCAAATTTCAGTATCTTAACATCGTTCGGCCCAAAAGATAATTCCCATTAAAGAACAAAAAACAACAAAACCCAACCAATTTAAATATCAAAACAAGAAAGGGGAGAGGGGAAAAAAAAAAAAAAAAAAAAAAAAAAAAAGACAACCAACCCCTCCCCCCGCTTCCCAAAAAAAAAAAAAAAAACAGGAAAAAATGCTGTGAGTAGAGGACAAATTAGTAATCACACCAGTAGGCCAACGACAAGCCAACCTTCACTCCTGCTCTAATGCTGGAGTTTTAGAAGCACACTAATGAATTGGAAAAAAAGGATCGAAACATGGGGAAATCTGTCACTGGAATCCGAAAGCTTACAGTAATTCTATTTTTCTTAATTTACTAATTGTCTGCTTCATGTTAAAGGGGATTGAAAAAAATTCAAGTCAAGCAGCATCAATGAGCTATTTGCAGGAGAAAGTAGAAACGAAAACATTAACAACCCAAACTTCTATAAGCAGTATTTAACTATAATAAAGCACCGGGGTTTCTGAACAATGACTTAGACAGAGAAGCCTAACCCATGCCTTCAAGAGAGAGACTGACCTCATGATGTGCATCAGTGTACACTGTGAGACAACAGTGGCATGAAACACAAATGCAGCCGGTACTGACTGGGAAAGTGCTTGGCAACTAGTGGGAAACCACAGCAGGCTCACCAACGTCAGCCCACGAAATGTCTGCACCAGGTTTGTCCCTCACCAGTTACTGACTGACTGAGTGGCTACTAGAGACCAAGTACGGGCATGTCCAAACATCAGTGAGCACACGGTATAACTGTGTGCCCTTACAGGAACCTATGCAATGGACAGGGAGATACTTAGTGTATTCACATTCACAATTTACAACAGCAAAAATGTCTTTGTGTGTACTGAGTACTCTATCAACTCGTTGATATCCTCAGCCTTGAAAATACATTTTGAAGTAAACACATGATTTATCTATAAACAGTTAGCTCGTTTTTAAAATGTACAAATGCAGGAAACAGCCCATGAAGTCATGTATCCTTTGAAAAGGACACTCATCAGGAGCTAGACCATAGCTCAGTGGGAGAGCTCAACACCCTGGGTATCTGATCCTAGGCGTCAACTAAAAAGACTATGCCAGCCTTTTTCAAACTTTGGAACAGGTCTTACCCTAAAGCCATTTAAAAGCAACAGCGCTGGTGTTCGGTTTTGGCTCAGTATAACCAGTGCTTCCGGGTAATGTGACAAATAGGATCAAGGTCCTCCTGGACCAGCACATTTAATAAGCACAGTGCCAACAGAGCAACCTTCCCTGAGCCAATGTCAAAGACAAGTAGTAGACCCCAGAATGCACACTGTGTAGAAACAGTTACAAAGGACTTCTTTTTCTTCATTTTAAAAGTCTTCTATTTTTGCTCTTTGAATCTAAACCAACAACTAAAGTACCTTTTAACACCTGCCAGCAATCTGTGTCAATGCACTGGAGTAGAAAAGACATATATGACTAAGACTACCATCTCCAACTGCACTCTGCACTTGGCTTTTCAAGTAACTCTGTACGAGGTTAGTGGAAGTTCTTGTGACAGGGGTGGGTGAGTAGGTGCTTAAAAAAAATTATGGCCCCACAATGAAAATCTTTAAATTTGTAGCCTCAAAAAGAAGTATAATCACGCTGAAAAACTACTCCAAGTGTGTGTGTCACTGCGTCAGGCAGAGCATGGGTGAGTGGTAGAATATGTACTTAGCACACAGGAAAACCGGGGTTCATCCCCAGAAGCCCAACTCCCCTTAAAATAAGGGAAGAGAGAGATCGAATGGTACTCAGTTAAATCATGCAAATGCCACTTACACAAAGCACTGAGAAACAGTATCATTTTTATAATGCTATGATGCAAATGTAGAGACTGATTCCAAACGTAAGAATCAAGTTCAATATGTGAAACAGACAAAATAAGAAACTGACTTAGTTAAAGACACAAAAACAAGGCCATGCAACGTGACTTAGAATGTACTTCAACTGCAGAGGACATTAGGAGATTAACAGTATCTCCATAAAACAGATCAGATCTACTTTAATTTCATTTTGATTATTATTCAGTAGCTGTGTAGAAGAACATTCTCACTTCTAGAAATACTGTAGTTTAAGAAAAAAATATGATGCTGACATCTAATTTTCAAATGATCCAAAGGTAAAGGATCATCTGTGTGTGCCCATCATATGTGTAGACAGACAGACGCACACAGAGACAGACACACAAACACAGACACACACACACACACACACACACAGAGGAATAACGTAAATATGGTCAATGTATGGTCAATGTTCTCTCTGTGGTATCCACTGACTACTGTAGTAACTTTGAGACTACTCAGAGAAGCTGGTAACAGCAGAACATAAGGCCAGGCCCAGAGGCAATTGCCTTTCCATAAGACGTTGGCCTGACTCCACTGCACACAGAACTGGTGATGAAAATGTCAGAAACCATTCATAGAGATGGTACACAGCAGGCCTTGTAACTAGTTTTAGCCACAGCCTTTATGTTATTAGCTCAATTATGTACTAACTGCTGTAGATACAGAGCTTGTTAATCCCAGCACTAGGGAGGCAGAGACAGGCAGATGTAATCATATTGATAACCATGCAGCCATAACACATTAACATCCAGAATCACAAAGAATTCCTACAACTCAGCAGAAAGCCTAATGAAAAGGACATGCATACATCTCTGTAAGGTAAACAAATGAGCAATATACTATGAAAATATGTCTTAAATCACTAAGAAAGAAAATATTCAAAGCCACAATAAGATAACCACAATGTACCTGTTAGGATGGCTAATAAGAAACATACAAGAGGCTGGAGAAATGGCTTAGCAGTTAAGAGTACTGACTGTCTAGAGGATGTGGGTTCAATTCCCAGTACCTACATGGCAGCTCAGAACTGTCTATAACTCCAAGCTCAGACACCCTCACACAGACATACATGCAGGTAAAACACCAACACAAATAAAGAGAATAAATAAATTATAAAAAATAAAAAACACAAGAATGTAAAATACTGTAGCAGCTATACAAGACAATGTGATTTATCAAAGCATGAAACAGAATCACTACATGATCCATGACACAATTTCCCTCCCGAGCACAGACTCAAAACAAGGGAAAGCAAATACTCAGGGTTACAGCAATGGCCGTTCACAACAGCTTGAGAAGTGGAAAGAACCCACACACCACTGACAATAAGATGGACAAACAGAATGCCATGTATACAAAGAAGAACTACTCAACCTAAAGGAAGATAACCCTGGCATACATGAGCCTTGAAGAAACGCAAAGTGAAATGAATCAGACTAAAACTGAACAAATAGTATTAAAATTCCTAGAGTAATCAAATTCAAGGACAGAAAGCAAAATTGTGATTGTAAGGGTTATATGCGCCTGGGGTCAGAAGATATTTGGTCACAAATTCATATTCTTGAATACAACAGCTTCTATAAAATACACTTGTGATTAGTAAAACACTAAATTCTTTCCACCCTATCTATCATCACACTGTAAGGTCTCTCGGGTGTTGTGGGAATTCATTCTGCCAACAGGTTTGGGTACCAGCCTTAGGCATGGCTTCTTGACTGCTGATGTAACTCCTTTAAAAGAAGCCCCTTTCTTGGATCTCTGCTTCCACTGACCCCAAGGCAGAAAGGAAGACAGTGGGCTCTCTACCTAGTTAATCGTGAGAGTTTTCCCTAACAAATCTCTGATATCTCTTTATTCTGGCTCTCGTGGGTTCACTGATTAATCCATCACTGCAAAATACAGTACAGAGATCGCCATTTACTGAGCACCTTAGCTCTCTGTGATGCTCTGAGTAAGAATGCCCCCACAGGCTCATAAGTTTGAATGCTTAGGAGGTGTGACGTATCACTCTGAGGTTGCAAACGCCCATGCCATGCCCAGTGTCTGTGTCTCCGCCCAGGGACCGGGGTGTAACTCAGCCACTGCTCAAGCACCAAGTGTGCTGCCATGCTCCCCTCAGGGTGATAATCACCCAGCCCTGATGAGCCTGTCTGCAAACTCCCACTGACTAAGACACTTCCAAAAACCAAAGAGAAAGCAGGGCAATTGGAACCCTGGCCTAACTGCACAAAGCTAAGAAGTAGTAGCCTAACTCCCCAAACCAAATGATTTTTATACACTTACAAATCAAGTCCTAGTGTTTTCAAAAAAGCCTGACTCTACTTGGGGGCGAGGGGCTGGAGAGAGGGTCCCATTTTTAGGGCATAAAAAGGGCACGGTAAGTACCTAACCCTAACATGGGAGTAAAAGAAAATGATGAGAATCAAAATCCTTATCTTCAAATCAGAGCTTAACGAAGCTTTTCCTATGACTTCACGAAAAAGAAGTCTCTAGTGCTAACACCCAATCAATACATTTCCTCTGAAATATAGGCAATTATGCTGTTATCACATACCACATCATTAATCTACATTTGTAGTAAAGACACACACACACACACACACACACAAACACTCAGAAGAGGAGGGAGGGAGGGAAGGAGGGAGAGAGAGAGAGGGGGAGAGAGAGAGGGAGACAGAGAGAGAGAGAAAGTAGCCTTAACCACAGTCCAAAGTTTAAAGAATGGCTTTCTGCCAAAGTGTATCTGAG